TGCTGGCGCATAAGCCATAGCAACTAATGGTCGGTAACCATTTTCAACTGGAGTTCCAAATACTTCAAACTTTTCGATGGCGAATATGACTGCTAGGCATTCACGCTCGGTAACACTATAGTTTCGCTGCGCACGGCTTAATTTTTTTGACATGAAAGCTATCGGTTGTTCTTCATTATCTTCAGACATCTGTACTAAAACGGCGGCAATGCCAAAAATCACTAGCGTCACAATGTAAAAAAAATTTCTTCGTAAAGTCAGCATTTTTTAAAACCGGCGAGGATGTTAGCACTGTTTTTAAGTTGTCCATTGCGGTCTGTGCTTCAGGGGTCCACTCAAACTTTTTCTTTGTCGATAATACGTCCGTTATGGGGCAAGTGAGATCGGAAAAGTTGCATATAAACCGACGATACCAACCGCAAACTCCTAGAAATCCTCGAACTTGCTTCAAGTTTTTTGGCGGCGGCCAATTTACAATACAAGAAAAAAAAAAAAAAAAAGTGCAAATACCTCCGCTACCAATCACGTAACCAAGATAATTGATACTTGTTACACAGAATTGACTTTTCGAAATATTTAAAGTCAAGTTGGCTTTTCTAAACTGCTCAGCGATGCGAACCAATACCGCCAGATGTGAACTGAAATCCTCTGACACAATACACAGGTCATCTAAATAACCAAATACGCAATAGCGCAGGTCAGAAGGAATTATCTCGTCCATTAACCGACACATGGTAGACGGCGCGTTACAAAGGCCAAAGGGCATGACCTTAAACTGATATAGCGGTCTTCCGGGGACCGTAAAAGCAGTGAGAGGCTTTGAATCCTCGGAAAGTTCTATTTGCCAATAGGCGTCTTTCAAATCTAGTTTGGAAATTATATTCGCCTTAGGTAGCCGCGAAAAAATGCCATCGATGCTCGGCAGAGGATAAGCATCTTTTTTTGTGGCGTCATTCAGTCTTCGAGCATCCAGACAAAGGCGAACCTTGTTGGGCTTAAGGACGAGTCGCATAGGCGAGCTCCAGGCGCTTACCGACGGCTCAATAACTCCAAGCTGCAACATGCGATCAATTTCTGCATATAACAACTTTTCTACGGCCGGACTTACAGGATAGAATCTTTGTTTCACTGGACGTGCGTCTCCTATATCTATATGGTGTTGGATCAATGTTGTGCGGCCTAATCTATCAGCAGCGTTGGGGAACAACTGCTTTACTACGTGCAGCTGTTGCGTTTGCTGGCTATCTAAGGGGTATGCAATCGACTCTGTTTCCTGCTCTTTTTCCATTGATTTTAGCTCTACAGAATTTATAATGCTTGGCGCAAGCTCAAATGCTCTCCAAAAATCATGACCCAAAATTAGATTTTGGTTTATAGAAGGAATCACATACAGTTTCAAGGACTTGGTAGCCGATTTATACTGCATTTTAACTTCAAGCACTCCGATGACTTTCTGACTATGGCCATCTGCTGTTCTGACATGCGATGTAATAGGCTTAAATTCCGGCATTGCGGTAAAATCTTGTTGCGCAAGCGTAGAACCTATACAGCTAATATTCGCGCCTGTATCCAATAGACCAAGCTCGGTAAAGGTTAAAAATGACACTTCGGCATAGCTGCGCATATCGGTGGGATTGCAAAAAACTGTCGAAACTAAAAGCTTGCTATGTTGCTTGATTTTTGAATAATAATTTTTCAAGCGCTGCGTACGCTGAGAAATACGGGGTTTGTCTTCATAAAAAATCTTATTTCGGACATGCAAATAATTTGCTAACCGTTCATGATACGGTAAAAATCGTAATTTAATAGTTTTAGCTATTTCTAAATTGTTGGGATGTGACTTTAAAGTCGGTGTAGGGACCAAGCTTTTTCTTCGGTCCACAGGTACAAAGTTCGTATGGGAATTAATTAGATTTTTGGGGGCATCCGACTGCTGCTGGATGCACCCTTCTGTTGGTTTTCCGAAGCTTTACGGATACAGTTTTGGCACTGGGGCTTATAAATGTTGGGTGCCCCGCATCCGTAACAAAATATACGGCGGTCAGCAAGGCAATTTTCCCACAGATGCCCTTGCTCTTCGCAGTTCCAACATTTAAGGTTGGTATGACATCTACGAATAGCTGCGATGTCAAAGTTTGTATCTTCTGAATTTTCTACCTCCGGTTCATTAAAAGACTCTTCTAGTCCATATACTTGGCGACGGCCAATAGTCCTGGATTTATTCATACCATCAGTGCGACAACTGAGCTCATGAACTAAATTCTCGTTCATTTGGACCAATCTACGTAGATGGCCAACTGAACTTATTGACTGGTATAGCAGTTTATGTCGGGTTTCGGGTAATAAATTATTTTTTAAAATTTCGATTAACTCCTCCTCGTCAATTTTAATTGCAAATTTATCGATCAGTGACGCTACAGCGTCATGGAACGACACAAATGATTCCCCAGGGTTTTGCTTTCTAGCTCTTACAAGTTCTTTGCTCATAAAAGCAGCAGGCAATGGCTTTGTCAGGATATCGGCCACTTGGTTCTCTGTAGAAATATACTCAAGAGTGATTAGTTTATTTTCAATTTGCTCTCTTGAGGAATTGTACTTTATATCAATGTGTTTTGATCTCTTGTGGCATGTGGGATAATGCAAACTTTGTTGTCCCACTTAATTAATATTGTAAACTAGTTATCAACGATTTTAGCCATATAGATTTTCTTACTGCTTCAGTAGAGGAAGCAGCGACTGAGTTCTGTTTCTTCGGTTCCAACATTTCAGACATGTCTCAAACATTTTTAATATATATCCAGTTGAACTTTTTCTATCAGACTCACTTCCGGCCCAATCAGAATCAACATATCTAGTTATGGTTTCTTTAAGTATTAACACCTTTACCCTTTATATACGTTAATACTCTTTTAAGACATTGCCTTAACTCTTGATTACTTTTTTTTTGTATATCTGCTCAATATACTTCTACATGGCGCCCTACATTGAACACCAGAATTCAAAGCAATATAATTGAGCTTACTTGGAAGTGGTGTACTAACTGATTTAGATATTATTAATATATATATACTGACTGACTATCATGTCTTCCTACTTTTATTCCTATGAAATATCTCATTTCACATATGTCTGTCATCCTAAAATTACTCATTAGGTATGAATGGAACTATGCTCAGTTGCAATAACCAATGCACGAAAATATCTTTCATTATATCCTTTCCATCAAGAAGATAGATGCATCGATCTACAGCTGAATTAACACAGCCCATTCCTTTTAAAGCTTTTTCAAAAACTCAAATCCATAAATTGACTTATTTAACTTTTCCGATTTCCTCTTTCAAAATACCATTTAGGAATGGTGCCCTTTAAATAAAATTGATAAAATAAATCTAAAGCTAGATATTCTTGCAACTGGAGCAAATGTCTCAACGTAGGCTCTAAGATAAACTTGTGTGAATCCTCGAGCTACTAGTCTGGCTTTATATTTAATAGTAAAAACCCACTTGCAATCAACTATGTTTTTTCCCCAAAAGTGCTCTAACAAAGTCCATGTTTTATTAAAATTAATGAGAATCTAATTCTTCTTTAATGGTTTCGTCCCATTTAGCTCGGTCAGTTCTATTCTTAATTTCAATATATGTAACTGGAATACTATAACAAAAATGTGCGTATTCACTAAGCAACTGTTTAAAGATCTATATGAAGCCTGTAAGATTTCAGATTACTTTTTTTTTTTTTTTATCTTATTCCAGGCAATTTTTCTCCAACCCATTCAGTTGGACAGGCATTTTCAGTTGATATACCACTAGGCTGTTTATCTGATATTTTACTATCAGATTTCCTCTTTCGTACTCTCATTCCGGAAATATGACTATTTCATTCGAATCTATTGTTCGAAATCCATTGTAGACTATCCATACTATTAATCTGGATATTTCCTACCTGTTCCATACTCTCATTCTGGAACTTCGAGTCCAACAGTCCTAGATTTTTCCATATTAATCATCAACAACAACTCCAATAACTTTAGTACCCATATTCCACAACTTATATCCATTTGGTTCATAGCCAACAAGTATACCTTTTAAATGGAGTTTTCTTATCCCGGAAGGCCCTACTTGGAGTTCTATTAATTAAATATGTTGCTGTTCAAACAGTTTCAATTGAAAAACATTTACTACAATTTTGCCGAACTAGTCATTGCGTTCGGATACTCGCATTTAGTTGCGGTGTATGGGGAACTGTTAAATGGTAGCCCATAGCCTTTTCACCGTGTCATTAGACAAATATTCTCTTCCATTATCAATGTAGAGATTTACAGCCTTTACAACAAACCTCATATATCTCAATATTCAGTTGCACATCTACTAAGATTTCTATATCTTTAAACATTATTGGTCTCATGCCACAAGCGATAATTTTAATTTATTTTATTTTCAATTGAAAAAAAATGTTTTATAGCTACACTCGTTATACACATACTTTCCTTAACGCCTTGTCCGCTTTTCGGCTCCAGAATCAATTTCCATTAAAAGGTGAAATATTTTTGAATTTGCCATCCCTTTGCATTGTTCTTCTTTTATTTTCCTAAAACGTTGTCCCGTAGAATTCTTGTGTGCTATTTTCAATTATTAAAGCACGGCGAAGATTTGTCCTCTTCAGGGTCACTGTTAACCTACAAAGGAGGTTTATGTTTATTACGCGATGCCGGATATACACACGCGCATTAAAACGTTTTTTAAAAAAGGCCAAAAAGGTTGTTGAAAAACTTGTCCTTTTTTATTTTGCTTTTTGAAAATTGATTTTTTTATTAATTTAATTGTGCACGATTGTCTTTATTTTGTTATGCGATGTCTGGTCCCATAACCTATTGGAATATTACCTTACAATCACACACAATTAAATAATAACACTTAGTTTTATTTTATGTTCGTTTTGATATTTATTATTTGGATTGCTTATCGCGTCAACTTGTTTGTTCAGAGGCTGCACAATGAATGAGACTTAATGCTTTTAGCAATTCAGTATCAAGACTAAAGTCTTTTAAAATAACAAAAGCCTACTAGGTCACTGTAACTGTTGTATGATTGAGTGTTTGTGTGCATTTCAGTGTTGTTAAATTATTATTTACAACACAGTGTTGTGAAACCAGATTTCACTTATTATTTCAACACTCAATTTTCCAATAAAATAATAAAAATATTCTTTAAAATTAAAAAAAAATATATAAAATTAAAAACAAAAAAATGTATAAGCAAAATTTTTTTTAAGAATAAAAATATCAACAAATAGAAACATAAGAAATAAAATAACGTTATTGCGTTATTTTTCAAAAGGAGGGAGATGCGGTATGCGCACATATCGAATGCTCACTGTAGTCAAGTACAGTAAAATTTATTACACATACATATATATACAAATTATAAGTACAAACACACTGTAGCATTTTGTTGCAGTATTTACATAAATACCCAAGTCCAAGTGCGAGTGAAACATGATCACCCACTTATGCTCCATGCATCATAAATGCAGAGTCAGCGATCCCACGCTGACCGCCTAGCTATATACATACATGCATATGGTCTCATTACATACTCTCTCTCTCTCTCTTAGCGCTGTTAATAATATATATAATATATATGTAATGCAGCCGCTCCGCTGCTGGCGTTACCGGCAGCGCAGCTACGCGGCATTAGCTAAATTAACATTAAGAGACTTATAATAAAACATTCAATAAAGAACATCAAAAGCGACCAGTCGTGTCGCTATATAAAAACAAAGCGTACATTACTTTTTCAATTGAGCACACTTACTACACCACTGTATTTCTTAATTTTTTTCAATAGCTATTACTTTATTTTCCTCAATATTTTCTACATGTTCTTTTTATACCCTGAGCCCATTGAAAATGGGTAAAAAGAGTATAATGTATTTGAGCAAATTTATGTAACAGGCAGAAGGAAGCATCTCCGACCCCATAAAGTATTTATATTCTTGATCAGCATCACTAGCCGAGTCGATCTAGCCATGTCCGTCTGTCTGTCCGTCTGTCCGTATGTATGAACGCAAGGATCTCAGAGCCTATAAGAGCTAGAGACAATGAAATTTTAGCTGTAGGTCCTCCAAGTACCCTCGCTGATCGAGTTTGTTTCCGATATTCGATAACTTGCCCCGTTTCCAAGTAATCGATACAAATCGATATCGAAATTCTGTTTTTTGAGCAATTTTGGTAAATAAGAAGAGCTGGAGTCACCAAACTAGACATGTAGCTTCTAGAATAGTATATACTTATATATCAAGTATCTTTAATTTTATGTGTATGTGTGTATGTGCATGTGTATGTACCGTAGAAAATTTAATCAAGATCGGTTGAGAAAAACAGAAATGATTAAAGAAAATGTGTTTTGACTTTTCACCTATCAGCAGCAACGAGCGCAAATCCCAAGAATTTCTGCATCTTCTTTGAATTCTATCAACAGCATTGCAATTGCGATTGTATTGTTTTCTGTGCTGCTATTTTAATTCGTTTTTATCTCATTAAAACTCAATTATTGGTGTAGCTATTGTATAGATGCCGCGGTAAGTAGTGCGGTGTGTAGCGAGTTCAACCCCTATCGAGGAGACTTATTTTTTTTTTTTCGCTGATGTGGCTGTTGAGTAGAGGCGGCGGCAAGTAATGCGGTTGCGAGTTCGAACCCTGCCAAGGGAACTTTTTTTTTTT